GGCCCGTAGGGAAATGCCGAAGGGGCACCAACCCCTCCCTGCATGGAAGGGGACAGCCTCAATGTGAATCTCAGCCCATTCCTAGTTGTGAGACCTTAAGCTGGTTACTAAACCTACCTGTGCCTGTTTCCTCATCTTTAAATGCGGTTAATAACTGTACCTACTTTAGACGGCAGTCATGGAAATTGTGAGTGACAATGCATATAAAGGCCCTGACAGAGGGGAAGGCCTAAATCAACATTCAAGACTATTACTATTACTGTAGTTATTGTTATTAGACATACAATCCAGAAGGTTAAGACTTTGCCCAAAGCCACAGAGTAGATAATAGTTTTCTTTCTATGATTACCCTGTTTTCCCATTTTATCTTCAGTTCTCTGGATCAAAAGAAAGAATGAGTGGGGTCAGAGGGACATGCCTCAGAACTGTGCTCATTTTTTGGGGGGGGAGAGGTTTTTGTTATAGGGCGCATGTGCTTGCCAGAAAGACAGAGAGAGACAGAGAGACAGAAAGTGAGAAATCACCTCCCGGGAGGATGACCACACCGCAATCCCTTCTCCTCCATTCTCCTCTTGAGATCTTGGGCACACACGCACACGTGCCCAGTATGAGTTTAAGCCACCAGGTCCAGGACTCGAACCGTGGTTGACTACATGGGAGTTCAGCAACACAGCCATTATGCTAACTGCTAGTCCCAGAACTGTGCTCATTTTGTCCTCAGGCATGACCCCACTCCTGCCTTTACTTGTTTTTTGTTTGTTTGTTTGTTTGTTTGTTTTTGCTATATGGTGTTTGTGCTTGCTGGAGAGACAAGAGAGAGAAGGAGAGACAGAAAGCAAGAAATCACCCCCCAGGGGGGATGGCCATCCTTCTCCATTCTCCTCTTGGGAGCTTGGGTATGTGCGCCATGCACACACACACACACACACACACACACACACACACACTCCCACACACACACAGACGCCGTGAGTTTTTTTTTTTTCTTTTTGGAGAAGTTTTTGCTATAGGGCACATATGCTTGCCAGAAAGACAGAGAGAGACAGAGACACAGAAAGTGAGAAATCACCCCCTGGGGGATGGCCATGCTGCAATCCCTTCTCCTGGATTCTCCTCTTGGGACCTTGGGCACACACACACATGTGCCCTACGTTTCAAGCCCCTAAGTTGAGATTTGAACTGTGGTCAACTACATGGGAATCCAGTAACATCACCATTAAGCCAACTGCTGGTCCCCCCAGCGTAAGTTTTTTAAGTCACCAGGTCTGGTAATCGAACCACAGTCGACTACATCTGAGTTGAGTAATGTAACTATTACACCATCTGCTGGTCCTGCGTTTTTTTGTTGGTTTGTTTTTGTTTCTAACTTTACTTATTTATTTATTTGACCAGAGAGGGGCAGAGTGAGAGAGGGAAAGTGAGAAAGCAACCCACCAGGTCTGGGACTAGAACCACAGTCGGCCATGTGGGAGCCCAGCGCCCTTAACCACCACGCCACATGATGCCTGCCCCACCCCCTGTCCTCAGCTTTGCTCTTTTAAATAGGGATAATGCTCTCTGCATGGCTGACCCATGGGGTCATTCTAGATTACAGACAAGAAAGGCTGTAGACAGCTCTTGTGCTTCTGAAAGGAGTGTGAGGTACTAAGGAAGGGCAGGGACTTTCTCAGCCACAGGCTGGAGATGGCACCTGGGCTTCCCACCTCCAAGGCTGGGCTGGATTCCAGCCTCTCACCACTGGGAGCAAGATCCTCACCATAGATGGTATTTCCTTCTATCAGCCCTTTGCCTTCGTCTCCCACGACCACACCATCCGAATAGCCAAAGCAGATGAGATTGCTCCTAAGGACAGGGACCCCTCCGCGGCGAATGTCCACACCTCCCCACTGATTCTCACGGATGACATTTTCTATGGAGAGAGGCAGAAAAGAAAGTTAGTACCTCAAGGTCACCTCCAGTGCTGGCCATGAGGTCATGGACACCTAAGATAAAGGACACAGCAGACCAGGAAAACCAGGCCTTACCCCATCGGTGGTCAGCACCCTGAATCTTGTCTGTTGTCTGGTATGCCAGGGATTTGTCACTAGCTGCTTTTTCTTTTTTTTAAAGAATTATTTTTTATTTAACTTTATTTGTTTATTTATTTATTTATTTAAGTTTGATCAGAGAGGGATAGAGTGAGAAAGAGAGAGAGAAAGTGAGAAAGCAAGTCGCCAGGTCTGGGACTCGAACTGCGGTCAGCCATGTGGGAATCCAGCACCCTTAACCACCGTGCCACCTGCTGGCCCCAACTAGCTGCTTTTTCAAGGGCAAGGCTTGTGTCTGGCTTGTGCTCTCCTATATCCCCTATACTCACTGCACCCAATGGCCTTGAGGATTGATTAAGAACAAAATGACTTGGGGCTGGCAAATGGCATGGTGGTTGGGGGTGCTGGACTCTCACCTCGCTGATCATGGTTTGCATTCTGGACCTGGCAACTTGGTTTCTCACTTTCCCCATTCTCTCACTCTGTCTCTCTCTGGTCAAATAAAAATAAATAAATAAAATAAAGTTAAGTAAGTGGGACCAGCAAATGGCATAATGGCTACATCGCTGGACTCCCATGTAGTTGCCCGTGGTTCGAGTCCTGGACCCAGCGGCTCAAAATCATGCCAGGCACGTGCACGTCTGTGCCCAAGACCCTGAGAGGAGAATGGAGGAGAAGGGATTGTAGCGTGGCCATCCCCCCTGCGGGGGGGGATGTGTGTGATTTCTCACTTTCTGTCTCTCTGTCTCTCTCTGTCTGTCTGGTGAGCACATGAGCCCTATAGCAAAAACCTCTGCAAAAATAAATAAAGAAATAAAGTTAAATAAAGAAATTCTTTTAAAAAAATAAATGACTTTAGGGCTCCTAGGGGCAGAATCCATTCCCCTGATGTCTGTGGGGATAAAGGCGTGGATCAGGTGGACGAGGGAAAGGGAGATACCAGAGGACACTGTCCTGGCTGCTGTCTGTCTTGGTTGGCCACCACTCCAGGCAGTTCCCAGCCCATACCTGTGATGAGGCCTTTGCCATTCTCGTTCACGGCTATGCCAGCAGCACGGCCCTTGAAGATGTGATTCCCACTAAAGTGGAAAGAGGAGAAGACAAGAGGTGAGACAAGGGCACAAGTGCCAAACTTGAGGGTGACTGCCCTCTCCCTGGGCTGCCTTATGGCTCAAGACCACAGGGGCATAAAGCTGGAGTCCTGTAAGCCAGGCATTTAGACATCTTTGTCACTGGGACAGCTTGACCATCAGCTAAGCCCACAGTACGCTAGACAAGCACGACGTGGCCGCTCTTGCCTGTCATCCACATATAGACACCATTTTTAACAGGTGTCATCATCATGGAGCACAGGGAGAGACTCGGTGGTGTAAAGGATTTCCAGGTGGCAGCGTTAAGCTTGCCGAAGGGCGATTTGTGTCCAAAGCCTGAATGAGACTCCGTGTTACGGTTTGGATAATGGTTTGTCACCCAAAGTCATGTTTTGAAATGTAGTGTTGGGAGGTGGTGAGGTCTAGACGACAGTAATTGGTTCATGGAGGTTGCATCATGGAGGCTCCACTCTCATGAATAAATGGAAGACCTAGGGTATTCAGTTCTCGTGAGAAGGCGTTAGTTCTCTGGAGAGCTGGTTGTTACAAAACAGGGCTGCCCACGGCTTGCTGTCTCTGCGGTTTTCTGTTAAATAGAATTCTGTGAGACGCATTCCCTGGTTTGGAGCTCACCTCATCCATATCACTGGCACTGGAGTTATAGGCATCCCATTCGTGGCTAAGGATTTTTAATTTGTGATACGAGTCTCACCTCCAGAAAGATCCATGGTCACTTGGAGAAGCACGTATGTGTGTGCACAGGGCAGGCAGAATAAAGATAAACGAGGTATTGGGAAACATTTAGACGGAGGCTGATCAGTATACCAAACACCCAGGACGGGAATTTAGCACAGATAAGCACAGTCTGAGCCCCGCCCTTCCTTGAAGTCAAGGCAAAAAGAGAAACACCACAGCTTCTGTCACTCAAAAATCGGAGCTGAGATTTGCCTCATTTAGGCCACTTCAGGGATCTGAAACTTCACTCTGTATCTTCCCCGAGTCCCTAGCCCCATCACGAAACAACACAAAGGGGAAAAGTGCAACCTCTTCCCTCAAGGCGATGACGTCTGAAAAACTCAAGATACCGATGCGATTATGGTAGGCCTCACTCACAGCCCTCGAACATTCCCAACACCCACAACGTAAAGTCCAAACTTCTCAGCTTGGCGTATTCGTTTCCTGCTCCCCTATAACAAATTAGCACAAACTTAGTGGCTTAAAAATACTAATTTTTATCTCCCAGCTTAGAAGATGAAAAGTCTAAAGTGGGTCTTATTGGACTAAAATCAAGGTGTCAACGGATCTGTGTTCCTTCTAGGGGCTGCAGGGGAGACGCTGTTCCTCAGCTCTTGTAGCTCCTAGAGGCTGCCCGCATTCCTTGGCCTGTGGCCTTATCACTCTGACCTCTGCCGCCACCGTCACATCTCCTCTCTTACTCTGATCCTCCTGCTTCCCTCTTAAAAGGACCTCTGTGGACACCCTGGGCCCACCTGGATAATCCAGAATAATCTCTCCCATCCTTATTGAGGTCCTTAACTTAATCATGTCTGCAAAGTCCTTCTGCCGTGCAAAGTAACAAATTCACAGGTTTCGGGGATCGTCTTCTGAGGGCCATTACTCTGCCTATCACACTTAGCGTTCGAGGTTCTTTGTGTAACGACTTGCCTTTGTAGCACCCCTGGTAACTCGCCACTTCTCTAGACATACCTGAATTTCATTGCCTCTGCACCCAGAACACTTTTTTTCCCTGGCCATAAAATCCTATTCATCCTTCAAGCGCAGCTCAAACATCAGCTCCCTGTGAGCCCTTCCCTGACATGTGTGGCTAAGACAGCGGCCGAGTTCCTCCGGCACTCTGTGTGAAGGCCTTTTAAGCACTCATGGCTGTGAGTCTTCTGTCATGGCTCTGTGTGTGTGTGTGTCTATCTCCAGCCTGAGACTGCAAAGTGCACAGAGCAGGGAGTGTTCTCATGCACTTTTCATTCCCTGTCCATTACACAGAATAGCATTAAAAGTGTGTTAAGTGAACAACACACTACATACAAACACAGAACCTTAAGTAAGGCCACAGTGCAAGAAGGGAAGAAGGGAAAAGAGCTCTATGACCACTAATTATTATTATTATTGTTTTTCTTTAGAGGTTTTTGCTATAGGGTGCGTGTGCTCACCAGACAGACAGAGAGAGACAGAGAGACAGAAAGCGAGAAATCACCCCCCAGGGGGGATGGCCATGCCACAATCCTTTTTCCTCCATTCTCCTCTAGGGATCTTGGACACACACGCACATGCGCCTGGCGTGAGTTTTAAGCCACCGGGTCCAGGACACAAACTGCGGTAGACTACGTGGGAGTCCAGCGACATAGCCATTACACTAACTGCTGGTCCCTACCACTAATTATTTTTAGTAAACTGTCTATAACAGTGAAAAAATATTTGCCTAACAGTAACAGGACTGATTCAAAAAGTATGGACTATCCAAGCCACGCAATATTCTGAAGTTTTCCAAAGTGATAAATATAAAGGCCCTACATCTGCATAACAAAGGACACAGGGAATCATGCAGGGGGTGAAAACCTCAGAATAGACTGGCTGCAGATGAATGCCAGCTCTTTTCCTAAGCAAAGCTCTCACTGTGTGGACCTCAATGAGTCCCCACTATCTAGACAGATCAAGTTCCACCTTTCTCAGTTCGGTCTACATAAAGCCCTCCTTCTCTGCCCAAGGCTTTCTTCCATCACTCCTTTCTACGATGCTGAATGGCAGAGATGGTCTCCCACAGGGAGATGAGAGGCCATGCTGCAGTACCTATAGGGTTCAAGTTTTCTAAGGGCCAGCCGGTGGCGTAGTGGTGAAGGCAGCTGGATCCCACAGGGCTGACTTCCTGATTTGAGTCTCAGACCCGGCAAGCTTGAAAAACGTATCTGGTACATGTGTGTGCATGCCCAAAATCCTAAGAGGAGAATGGAGGACTCATTTTCCTCTGCCTCCTCTCTCTCCAGTGAGCACACGTACCCTATAGCAAAAACTAAAAGAGTAAAAAGATTAAAAAAAAAAAAAAAGATTTTCTGAGACAGACCCAGTTTAATGTATTTTATGCCAATGTCATGCCTTGTGTCAGTTTTTCTTCTCAGGCTTCAGGGGAACTGTTTACTAACTCCGAACCTGCCGTGTGCTGCTGCCTTTGCTCATGCTGCGTTTCCTTTACCAGGTACATCCACTTTTCCCTCACCTCCGTGAGAATCTTCCTCATATTTCAAAGTCCAACTCCAACGCCACCTCCTCCTAGTCAGGAGGAGTCTCCCCTCTTGTGCCCATTTTGCCCATTTCGACAGCATTTACTACAGTCAGCCTACACTGTGCTGGGGCAGCAGCTGCAGGGTCACGGTGTCGCCACTGCCCCTCTTGCCCATCATGTACATCACTAATACGGCGTAGCACAACTCTAGGCTGAGGCCAGGTGCAACCCCAGGCCCTTAACACAGAGTCCCAGGGAGCCACTCTCGGCCGAATGGAATTGTCAGGTGAGGTGAAATCTCTACATGGCTGCCTTGGAATATTTCTGTGCACGCACACTCTCCAGGCTACAGTGAGCTCCTAGGGAGCAGAGTCTACCTCCTGTTTTCTTTTGTTACCCTGTGGAAGTGTTCAGTAATGTCTGTTGAATAGAATGCCTATTCAGAGTTAACGGAAAGGAGCACAGAAACAAAAGCAGTTGTTACTGGGGTGGAATTATGGGTGATGTCTCTGCGTGCAACTGTGCAGTTAGGAAAGAGAAATGTTTCAAGTGTAGTTTCCTACCCAAGACAGAGGGTAGGAAAGTGAGGAGAAGAGAAGAAAGGGGCCATGGATGAGTAAGTAGGTCTGGGCTCAGAGGAGCATACCTCACGACTGGATTTCCGTGGTACAGGATGTAAATTCCAGCCTCCTTATTTGAAAAGATTTGGTTGTTCCGGATGATGCCTTTCCCATTGCCAAGGACAACGATGCCAGAGCGAAGGCCATGGTGGATCTGGTTACACTGCGAGTAGAAGTGAGACATACACAAGACAGGTCAGACATGCCAGTGGAAAACAGCACACAGCTGCTGCCCACACAACTGTGCCCACGTGAGCGATGTGGGGTAAATAACATCCCCGGGAGATCCCCAGTACACGACCAAGGGAACGGAATGGACCTGCTGCTGCAGGTGGACTTCCTCCACCCTGGCACAAAAGAATGCAGCCAAGGGCTGTCCCCGTGGGGCCACATCCGGACAGGGTGAGAGCCACTGGCTTCTGGTCCTCACTTCTCATCCAGGGGAGGGCCTGTGGAAAATGCAGATGCTGGGGGGTTAGCTGGCCCATGGCGCAAAAGGTCACAGAAGGTATTTGAGTTACAGGACCCTCAGAGATATTTACTGCTAATATCTCTTTGTATAAATGGGCAAACAGCTCCAGGATTACATAGGATGTTTATAGCAGAGGCAGATCTGAATCCTACTTTTTCTTTTTCCCAGTCCAGTTAGTTGCTTTTGAACAATGACTTATTACTTTCATATTATAAAAAATTATACTAAGGGCCAGTAGGTAATGTGGAGGTTAAGGGTCTAGATCTCACATGCCTGACTGTGTGATTCGAGTCCCAGGTCTGGTGACTTGAAAATCACACTAGGGGTATGTGTGTGTGTGTGCGTGCCCGAAATTCTAAAAGAAGGGAATATGGCAAATCCATCCCCTGATCCTAAGAGAAGAAGGGAATATGGCAAATCCATCCCCTGAGGGGGTGATTTCTCACTTTCCTTCTCTTTCTGTTTCTCTGGCTCATGCATGTGCCCTATAGCAAAAACTAAAAACTAAACATAAAAACTAAAATCACCTCACTCTAATTGTTAATATATAGTTGAAATCTAATCCTATACTTAAGCCAGAAAGTTATTAGCTGTGTCTCTTTCCAAAGTAGTTTAGACACAAAGTTTTAGTTGAAAGTATTTCATGCTGAAAGCTATCCTTGTTCTTACTTTTCAGATTTTTTAACAGTAAATAAACTTTATCTATTCTTCTGGATTACATTGCCAACATTCACATAATTGCATACAATACAGTTATATATTGACTAGTTACTTTTTAAAGTAGTTTTTTTTCCTCTGAAAAATGTAAGTACAAAAGCTAGGTAAACAATGAGGTACTGCTGTTTGGGATTCATCCTATGTCACAGCTTAAAGAACTAGTCTTGGGACCAACAGATGGCATAATGGTTATGTCTCTCTACTCCCACCTAGTCGACTGCAGTTCGAGTCTCAGACCTGGCAGCTTAAAACTCACGCCAGGAGTGTGTGTGTGCATGCCCAAAATACTGAGAGGAAAATGGAGAAGGGATTGAGGTGTGGCCATCTCCACTTGGGGGTGGGGGGGTGATTTCTCACTTTCTGTCTTTCTGGCAAGTGTACATGCCCTATAGCAAAAATCTCTAAAAAAAAAAAAAACACCATAAAACAACAAAAAATCAAATTAATCTGGAGAAAATAGCTTCTACTGAAGGATCTGGCAGACTCATCAGGGCAACCACTGCCTGACAGCAATCCCTCCTCGATTGGAAAGCTCAGAGAGCATGAATGCAATGGCCTCTCCATCTCCACACCCTTCCCAAGGCCAGGACTGAAATGTACTGCCCCCTCCACCTGCCACGCTGGCTTGTCCCCCTCTGTCCCTCTGTCTGTGGGAAGCTGAACTCCTCTCATCTCTCTGGCAACAGTGGTGGTAATTTCTAAGCTAAGGCCATGCATCAAACACTAGCTGCACAGCAGGACGCAGTGACAAGGAGGGCTTGGCAGAGGACACTGGCCAGGCGTGGCTTTTCAAATACAGTTCGGAGCTTAGTTTTCCCTGCATTTTCAAGGGCAGTCTAGATATGGGATAGAACACTGACCCTGAGTGGCCTGCCTGGATCCAAATCCTATCTCTGCCACTAGCTGTGTGATTTTCTATCTCTGCCACTAGCTGTGTGATTTGCAGCAGGATCCTTGGCCTAGTTAGTCTTCATGTCTTCATCTATAAAATGCAGATAGCGATAATTCTACTTTACAGGGTTGTATGAGGGTTAAATGATAATTAAGCAAGTATTTACAAGGTGCTTAGAAAATTATCTGACCTATACTAAGCATTATTATACATAAGGGTGGATATCATTTTGTCAAGCCCATAAAGTCCATAAACTTGATGTTATCCAATTTCTGGGAAATCTGTTTCCCCTGATTTTTTTTTCTGGGAAATCTTTTTCCTGAGATTTTTCTCAGGAAAAGTCAGGGTTGAAAAGAGGCTAGCGTTGTATGTCACAACTATCATATTTTAGAATTTTAAGTGGTTTTCACACTGGCATGAAATCAAACAGAAGGGGCCAGATGGTTAGTGATAAAATGAACACTGCAAGGAAATTCCAAAAGGCAAGGTCCCAGGTTCAAGTCCAGAGACCTCTCGGAGTACCCAGGGCACATGTTGACCCATAAACCAGTCACAAGGGCACACACAGAAAAGACAGTCATAAGGACATACATGTGCAAACAGGACACATATAAAGTCAAGACAGCAACATTTACTTAAATATCCTCTGAAAAGGTTTCTGAAAACCAAAAGCCACCCTGAACAAGGCATGTAAGCAGAGAGAAGTACCAGTATGAGTGGGTTGGACTTCTTCCGGATGTCTACGCCAGCCTCTGCATGGTGGTAAATGTTGTTGCCAGCTATCAAGCCCCCACCCTCCAAGCGAAGAAAGATGCCTGATGCCCGGCAGCGGTAAATGTCGTTCCTGAGCATGACGATCTGGGTGGGAAAAAAGAAAACCATTTCTTTTTTGTCACATAGATTTTTGTGGGGAACACCTAAAGCCTTTCCTTCCCATCTGGTCCGTGCTGATTGCACTGTGGGTGGGAGGAGTGCTTCCACACCGGCACAACCAACTCCCTTGGCTTCGCCCTGAGGCTCTTTACCAACAACTTGTCAGTTCTTTAGCAGAACTGGATTGAAGTTCGGCCCTGTACTCCATATTAAATTTTTTCTGTTTTTTAGAATTATTTATTTAATTTTTATTTATTCATTCATTTATTTTAATTTGACCCGAGAGAGACACACAGAGAGAGAGACAGAGAGACAGAGAGAGAGAGAAAGTGAGAAAGCAAGCCACCAAATCCGGCACTCGAACCCTGGTCCACCATGTGGGAGTGTCTGGCGCCTTAGCCACCACACCACCTGCCGGTTCCTATGCTCCATATTTAGAATTTGCAAGCAGCATAACTAGATGCTGGGATGGAAGGGAGGCTTACAGAAGATAGGATTTGGTGGTCTTCAACTCTACATGCACTGGGGTAGCATGAAGACTTCCCCAGGGCTCAAGGGTACCGCTACTTTTAATGGAATCAAGTTCCAGACCCACCACTTCTTAAATGTACACTGAAATTCACCTGCCCAAGAAAGTGCTGAGTAAGGTAGCATGCTGGCTCTTTTTTCCACCTTCCCTTCCACTTTATAAAACAAAGGTAGATTCTTGGGAACCAGCAGTTAGCGTAATGGCTATGTTGCTGGACTCCCACGTAGTCGACTGCGGTTCGTGTCCCAGACTCGGTGGCTTAGAACTCACGCCGGGCGCATGTGCGTGCGTGCCCAAGATCCCAAGAGGAGAATGGAGGAGAAGGGATTGCGGCGTGACCATCCCCCCTGGGGGGTGATTTCTCGCTTTCTGTCTCTATGTCTCTCTCTGTCTGTCTGGCGAGCGCAC